ATTTATTTATTTCATTATTTTCTGTCAATAATTAGATCAAAATTTACAATTATTCATGATTGTGTTTGGATTAATGAGATAAACAAATGAATTTTGAATATTTCAAAAATCAAATAAAATATTTAATAATGATTTCAAATTTCTTAACTTTTGTTACTTTCTAAAAAATATCAAGCAGTAATCATTTGGAATTGATTTTCAAAAAAGCATAGAAGCTTCCATAGTTACCAAATTTATTTAACGTGGATCAAATACACCTTATTTACTAGATGTATTGAAGTTTGATTTAAATAAATCATCTTTCGAAGATATTATAATAAAAAAAATGTTATTCGTTTGAACAATTAGCAAGATTTAATTTGAATGACCTGAATTAGTAAATATCAATGTAAATAGAATCAATTTAAATGAAATTTTATTATTCAGTTGTAAATGGAAAAGTTAAAGAATCTTAGAATTATATAAATTTTATGTTCTTATCAGGTAGGGCAGATCAGTTTCTGATGATTCTACTTTAGCTTCTAGAAGTGATGATAATTCTTTTTTCTTATGAGATTATAAGAAGGGACAATAGAAATAAAAATTGAATGGTCATTCTAATTGTGTCCTTTCAGTATACCTTCTTCATGATGTTAACACATTAGCATCTGGTGATGATGAAGAACATATCCGTTTATGGGATATAAAGACAAGACAATAAAAATTGAGATTGGATGGCCATACAAGTTCTGTCAGGCCAGTATACTACTTTTCTGGTAATAAATTATCATCAGTTAATTGGGATAACTCTATACAATTAAGAAATGTTAATTCAGGGCAATAAATTTAACCATTGCATAATAGTTTTTAAGATAAACTTGCATACCTTAAGAAAGCTATATTTAATTTTATTTTATTAAGAAATTGGCTTCAAATTTTGCTTTAGTCATTTTCTTAAGAATATTTAATTATGGGCCAAACTTTGGAATATATGTAGTTAATTTTCTACATGATTAGAAACAATTTTGAACTAAACTAGCAAAAACAATAAGCAAGAAAGAATTGACTTAAGTTTATTATTAATAATAAGGATTATTATATTAAGATGAACGATAATAAAATTTTTAAATGAATTTTTTGAAAGATGATGATTAATTTGGATTTATATCACTTTTCCAATATAAAAGGGCCAACTTTTAATTTTTCATAAACATATATATATAAGAGTTCTTAGTTGTAGTATTAGTTTAATCAAAAGATTGGATATACCGTATTGAAAATTATAATCGAAATATTATCAAAGAAATACTTTAGTTTAGAATTTTTTACATTCCTAGAAACTACTTAAAATTATCCTTTATGTGTGATTATACAGGTGTTTATTATACAAAAAAATAGAAAATAATATTTATTCAATTGCTTATCTAATCAATATTATCAAATAATATGATTTTAATAATTATAGTTATTCCACTAAAACTTATCCTGAAACAATAATTAAATCATGTAAAAAATATAGCAAGATGTAAGGATTATAGAATTTTAGAAATTCTTAGTTCATCTCGCTAAGCTAGGTAATAATTTTTAATAAATTGATCAATCTAACAAACTAAAATTTTGAAAATATTAAAGTTAAAAATACTTCTATATTTGGAGGTAATTTGCAATCAATGGAATTAATTTACATTGAGCTTTATTGTTTGATTGTAATTGGAAAAAATTTTAAATAAATATATTTATTATTTAGATGGCAAAAATTAACCGTTACGTTAGTTTTTTTCTCTCTTAATGGATATACATTAGCTTTAAGTAGTAATAATAACTCTCTCCGTCTATGGGATATCAAAGCATGATAAATAAAAGCTAAATTGGATGATCCTATTTATAAAAATTAAAAGTTAGCTTGACTAGAACACTATATTATATTTAAAAGCTAATTTTCTTTTTATAAACCATAATAATATTAGCAAAAGCAAATTATTAAAAATGTAGAAAAAATTAATATATTTTATTTTATTGTTGAATCAGAATTTTCTAATTTTCCTATAAACATGAATATATAAAGAGATATCTTATTTAATGAATTTAAAATTCAAGGGGTTTAAAGAAGATCATTCTTGAAGCTCCTTTTGTGTTACTTGAGACAAAAAATAATAATAAACTTCTGCTGTATAAATTAATGATGTTATGATATATTCTATGGTGATTATATCAAGTTTAGCTTTGCTATCAGGTAATGTAATGATGTTCTTTAACTTATTAGATTTATTATAGTTCGCATCGTATATGAAATATATGTAATATCAATTTCCACCACATTTAATTGAATTTTTGAATACTTAGACTAAAGTATCTTTATAACCAGTGATGAATTATTTTAGGTAGATTAATTATTTGTAAAATTAAATGGTGGTCCTTCTCCAAATCAAATCACTTAAAAATCGAATAAAAAATCTCAAAAAATGCTTTAAATGGGTGTTATTTGGTTAATGCTAAAAGTTGTTATTTTTCTGCCATTGCATCATTAATAACCTATTTACTTTATATTCTCAGTGTCTAAATAATTTAAAATTTCGTTTTTACGCTTTCTAATCATAAAAAGAATAATGTTAAACACTTTAAACTTATAGATTTTTTAGAAGAAAAAATTTAGAAAAAAGTGCTTAACATTAAAAATTGAATATTTCTTTAGGAATCTATAAAGTTTATTAAGCAATTTTGCATTACCTTCTGTTCAGTGAATCATTGCAATTTCCAAATTATAAATTTAATAATACATTTGAAATCTTAAACAGCTTTAATGCAATACTTGGGTTATCATTTATCCTTATGGCTACTTTTCCACTGCTTTCAATCACTTCTGCACAAATAAAAGATATAAGGAAATGGAAATATTTTTATTATGAATCAAAAACATAATTTTTAACTGCTTTAATATTGTTTTATATTTTAATTGTAGTCCAATTCATTAACTATCGAGAAGCATAATCAATTTTGCTTTCTATGTTATCATTTATGTATTTGATTTTTTTGGTCAAGTTTAAGCTATTACATATCCATTTGAGCTTTCTAAATTAATTTGTAGAGAATTGTTAATTATGATCACAACTAGAATATTTATAATTTATAGTTTTGAGTTTATTTAAGATAATTTTATGATGATTGGAAAATTCATATTGTTATATTTTTTACCATTTTTGCTTCTAATTTATTTATAGATATATTTACATACATCTAAAATATCTACTGTAATTATTTGCAAGAGATATATAAACGATAATTTGAATAACAAAAAAGATACTATTTTAATCATTTGTAACGATTTATCGTGCATGATTATGAATCTTAGAAATGACTATTTTATCTATATTTTTATTTAGTTGATTTTAACTCTTTTAATACTTTTAATCTTAATATTGAAATGATAACATACCTTCTATTTATTATTTAATATCAATAGTTTAATATCTATATATTTTATGTAAATAAAATTTAAATAACTCCCTTTATCAAAAAAGATTTTAAATCTATCTTTTTATTTCAAATTATCAAAAATATCAATATCTACTATGATATTGCAAATTTTCTCATATTTATATAAAAATGAATAAAGAATAAATAACTTCGAAAAAACTAAAAAATCAATTATTTTTTATTGATATCTGTGATTGTTCAATAAATAATATTAGCAAGTTTGGATAAGAAAAACTTATGTTAAAGAGAAAATTTTCATAACCATTAGGATTGATATCAGATTATTAAATTAAATAAATATTATTAAATGTTTAATAATACTCATCTTTCGTACAC